TGAGGGGACATCGGGGGGACATCGGGGACACCACGGGGGTGGAGGGGGACATCGGGGGGACAACGGGGGAAGGGGAGGTGTGAGGACACAGGTGGGATGGAGTACGGAGGAGATGAGGGGCCAACGGAGAGGGTCGTGGGGATGGATGTGACACGGGGACAACAAGGTGACACGGGGACAGGAGGAGATGTGGCCGTGTGATGGAGGGTCTTAAGGGACATGGGGACAAGGAGGGGACACGGGGAGGGATGTGGGGACACAGGTGTGAGGGGCCATTGAGGAAATGAGGGGACGTGGGGACATGGAGAAGGTCATGGGGACATTGAGGAGGTCATGGGGACATGGAGAGGGTTATGGGGTTAACGAGGGGACATGGGGACATTGTGAGGGGACAAGAAGGGGACAGGAGGAAGAGTGTGAGGGACATGGGTATGAGGGGACATTGAGGAACCAAGGGGACATTGAGAGGGTCATGGGGACAACAAGGGGACGTAGGGACCATGAGGAGGTTTCTGGGGACATCGATATGGGGCAACGTGGGGACAACAAGGGGACCCGAGGAGCGTGGGGACACACAACAGGGGACACGGGGACAATGGGAGGACATGGGGACGTGGTGTGACATGGGACAGGGTGTGACACCGGGGGGGGACAGAGGGGACACCGTCCTCCCGGGCCATCACGTGTCCCCACCCTGTCCCCAGCTGTGCCTCGTGGTGGCACGTCCCCGTGCCAGCGTGTCCCTGTCCCCAGCTGTGACCCCAGCTGGCACCTCCCTGGCCCCACACGTCCCCTGGTGTCCCCTCCTGTCCCCAGCTGTGACCCACACCGACACCTCCCTGTCCCCACGTCCCCTGGTGTCCCCCCGTGTCCCTGTGACCCACACTGACACCTCCCTGGCCCCACACGTCCCCTGGTGTCCCCCCCATTGTCCCTGTCCCCAGCTGTGACCCACACCAGCACCTCCCTGTCCCCACGTGTCCCCTGGTGTCCCCCCGTGTCCC